GGGTTACACATCCGGCGTCATAGCAGGCAGCTACCGGCAGCGCACAGGACCGCGTCACCATAGTAACCCACCACTGACTCAAGGCCAGCGCCGGTTGCCATAGGAACCATTTGGGAGATGGCAAGTCACCAGGGAAGGCGGAATATGAGGGGGCACCTCTGAAAGCAGCCAGCACCTGAGCTGCTCCACAGGGTTTGGGGAACCCCAAGGACAGCGTCTGGATGGAAACGCGGGGATGTGGGAAATGAAGCCTCTTCCTTCCCGCTTCCCAAGTACAGGATGGGGGCCACGGGACTCACCTTGAAGAGGGTGATGCTCTGGAGCACCCCCGAGGTACAGCACATCTCCCGGATGGAGTGCATGGCCAGCTGCGGGCAGCCGATGTCCAGCACGCGCAGCCCCAGGCGGGAGGCCAGAATGGGGCCGATGGTGGTGCCACAGGGCGTGTCGTTGCGCACCATGAACTCCTGCATGGGGACGCGGCCTCAGCGGCTCCCTGGGGCCTCCTACACGGGCCCCAGGCCTGAAGGGCAGTGGCCTGGGACAGGGAGGCAGCACCGCTCCCAAGCCAGGGTGCAAAATTCCCTAGAGACAGGACACGCCCAGGCTGGGCCCTCCCCTGCTGTTCCCAAGACTGGTCCCCCAGGCAGCCATGGACCTGAAGCCCCGGAACAGCAAGCAGCACAGACCCCAGGGGAGGAGAGAAACAGTAACTGAGGGGCAGGGGTCTGCCACAGGCCCCCTCTCATAAACACAGGGGCTGGGCCATGGCCCAAATTGGTAGCATTCACAGAGGGTTCTGCTGACCTGCAGAGGGACACCCACGCGGGTGGCGATGTCCCGGATGACTGCTTCAGTGACAGCTGTGGAGGCGTAGCGCTGGTTGCTGTTCACCTTGATGACGGGGCCCTGCATGAGGGAAAGCACTGCAGGCCCACCATTGGCACTGGGGATAGCTCTGGGAACACCTGTGCCCGGGCAATGCTGTCCCACCCTAACCCCCCAGTCCATTCTCCCCTCCCCAGGTGATCGGTGGCGATGGGGACAGCCCTGCCATGGGGACAGCCCCAGCTTGGAGCAAGGAAGGGCTCCAGGGCCAAGGCTGCGGTCCTAAGCAATAGACACCAGGTGTGTGGCACAGCCAAATTGTGCTGTGAGACAAACACCTCCCATTTGAGTGCTGTCAAGTTGCAACCCCAGTCTGTGCCCCAGGGAACAGCTGGATGTGTCACAGCACTGCAGGACAGACGGACAGCACCCATCCCAGCCCAAAGTAGAGGGCCACCCCCACCTTGTGGAAGGCTGGGCGATGATTCTCCTCATGCTTGTCCCTGCAAAAGAGAAGCAGGATTTTAATCTATGGTCCTCCCACCCTGCTGCAACAAGGCCTGTCCCATCTGTACTGCCTGAGGAACGAGAGGGACACAGCCCCAGCCAGCAGGCAGGCTGCCCCGGCCTGTGCCACTGCTCAGACCACTCACACGTAGTTAGGGTGCACAGCGTGGGCCATGTCGGCGCTGATCATGAAGGACTTGGCCACGGCCTCCTCGAAGGCTGTCAGGTTTTGCGGCGATGCCGAGATCCGGCGCAACACCAGCTCTGTTAGCAGGGACTCCGCACCCTGCGCGCTCTCCGACCCTACCTGCCAAGGACCACTGTCAGCACAACCCACGTGGCGCAGCCCCCCAGTACCCAAGGGGCCAGCTGCGCAACTGGGACCTCCCAAAAGCCAGCAGAGCACCTTCCAACCGCACCTGCTGCCTGGGCCGTGCTCCACAGGGAGCTAAGCAAACACCCCTTGCCCTGCTGGGGCCTGGGTTCTGTCTCCTGCTTGCCATGGCTGGGGGCGAGCAAAGAGCTCCTCCCTCTGTAAGCCACCCCACGGCCATGCCCCTCGCTCACCTCCTCGTTGTCGTAGAGTGCGATGAGACGCACGTTTGGCTCCTGCGAGAGGGAGGAGGGCGCCGCGCACGAGTCAATCAAGGCCTGAAGGGTTAGGGGAGACACCAGCTCGAGTGCCGCCCCATCCTGGGAAGCTCAGCACTGCGCCAGCTGGAACATCCCCAGGAGAGCCCAAAGCACAGAGGAAGGGAGCCATTGGCACACATGTGGCCCAAGGAGAGCTAGAGTGATCCCTGGGAGCTGCTGGGAACCCCACAACCCAGGCAAGGGGGAAACCCCCATCCAAGCTCAGATCCTTCAACACGCCAGACCCACACCATAGGAACACGCCTCCCTGCAGAGCCTTCAGGGCAGCCCACTGCTCCTCTCAACCAAGCTGGGGTCTGGACTCCAGACTTGTTTCCCCCTCCCGCTCACCTGCAGGGCGCAGAAGCAGCTGTGCAGGTTGTCCAGGCGCGGGGAGAAGATAAACTCATCAAAGGCGCCACCCAGCGTCTGCAGGCAGAGAGCCGGGAGGAGCAGGGCATAGGTTCTGGGTCACCAAAACGTTCTTGCCGCTGGGTCCCCACCGCAGTCCCCTCCGGAGCTGCCTCCTCTCGTTCGGCGCGGCTGGCAGCC